TTGGGGGGAGGGATGCCTTCCTGGGTGGCTGGGGGTGCGGTGCTCAGAGATGAATGAGGTGCAGCCTGTGTTGGGGGTGAGCAAGAGGAGAAACCAATGTCCCCTCTTAAACCATCTTGGAGGGAGCAGGTCCAGTGTTTTTTGCATCAGTAACATAAAATGGGTGATGATTGTTTTTAACAAACATCTGAGGAAGATTTTTGGCTGTAGAAGTTACGAACATGTAAAAACATGTGAGCAAATCCTTCTTGTACAGATTTCCCCAAGATTTGTCCTGAAGAAGCATACCACTACCACCGTGGAGAAAGTGTGGCCATGTGACCTGGACCCTCCTTGCTCAATTGAGGTCCAGTTTGGGACCCTATCTTTTTTTCTTTAGCTGGCATACCATAGAATGCATCCATTATAAGTATACGATTCAATCATTTTGGTAAATTTACAGAGTTGTAGAACAATCACCAACAATCCAGATTTAGAATACAGTAAAACCTTGGTTTGCAAGCATAATTCATTCCAGAAACATGCTTGTAACCCAAATCACTTGTATATCAAAACAAATTTCAAGAACTGCTAGCTCAGTTGTGATCATGTGACATTCGGCATCACGTACTACTCGTGTTGCAAGACATCACTTGTTTATCAAGTTAAAATTTATTAGAAATATTTGCTTGTGGAACACCCTCAGAACAAGCTATTTGCAATCCAAGGTTTTACTGTATTTCCATCCCCCAAAATGATTTCCTCATTCCCATTTATAATCACTCACTATTCTTACCCCCAGACCCAGGCTGATCTGCTTTTTGTGTATAGATTTGCTCTTCCTGCATGTTTCATGTAAATGGAATTATTGTATATTTATGTAGTCTTTTGCAACAGGCTTCTTCCCCTTAGCAAGTTTTTGAGCATCCCGCACATCATAGCAAGTATCGGCCCTTCATTCCTCATTATGGCTGAATCATATTCCATTCTGTGCATTCATTTACCACGTTTTATTTATCCATTCACCAGTTGATGGACACTGGGTTGTTTCCAGCTCAGGGCTATTACCGTTAACGCTTCTGTGAACGTGGGCACACAAGTCTTTGTGTGAATGGATGTTTTCATTCTTCCCGTGTGGAGACCTGGGGGTGGAAATGCTGTGTTGAGCAGCCAAGTTTAGCTTTGTGAGGAGCTGCCCTACTTTTCCAGAGTGGCTGCAGTATTTTATATCCCTAATGGCAGAGTCTGAGGGCTCCTGTTTCTCCACAGCCTAACCAACACTTGTTACCATCTGTCTTTTAGATCATAGATGTCCTGGGCAGTGTTCCTTTATCCTTTTAAGTGATGCTGGAGCCTGGTGGGGATCAGAGAGGGTAGCAAAGAATTAAAGATGTGGTTGTTAGAGCTCAGGAGAACAGATTGTGACAACAAAAGCAGAATCGGGAGACCAAATTTCCCTCCCGGAGAGATTTCTCCGGCAGCTCTGAGAAGTCCCATTCCAGGGAGTAGCTTCCAGTGCAGACATGGAGCTCAGTAAGGGGCCCTGGGGAAACCCTGCTGGACCATCCTGGGCGGTGACAGTGGGCACAGGGGGAACTACAGTCTACACAGAGGCTAATGAGGAGGGAATGGGCATTGCCTCCTGTGGACTGTTTAGTCCTGCCTCTCAGGCTCAGGGTAATAATGCCTGGTCCTCAGCCAAGCCACCTGGGCACACGGGGGCAACCATCTACCAGCCCCACTGCCCACTGTTGTTCCTTCGAGGCCCCTGCCTCTCCCAACCCCGAGGAGACAAGCAGGAAACCATCCCTTCCTTCTGAGAACACTGGGTGTGAGCAGACACCCCCCCACCCACCCAGTCCCTGTCCAGTCCTCCAGCACCCCTGCAGCAGGCACATTCTTCACTGAGACCTTGAGACCCCGAGGGGCCCCCACAGGCATCAGAAGCACCATTTCCTGGTTCTCTCCACTCTGTCATCTATTTTTCCAAATCCCAGTCCCCAGCTTGTTTACTTCTCTGGTCCTTTAAATAGCCACATGAGAGCGCGTGCCAGCCTTGAATGTCGTTTGGGACTGGACTGCACTGAGCCTTGGGCTTCATCATCGTGTTATTCTTCATGCTCCTTCCGCTCTTCTCGGCACAGTCTGTTCTTTGGAGCTGAGCCAGCATGGGGTCGGTCTTTCCCACTGGAGCTGCCGCGAGTCCTGGGGGCTGGGTGAGGAGCTGCCTGGCAGCGCCATGGCCCAGATCTGCACTCTGGAGGCCAGCTCGTGCCACAGCCTGTGGGGCCAGGTAGCAGTGGGGCTGGACATTGGTGCTGGTGATGGACGATGGCACTGAACCCCCCCCTCCACTGGGCTGGCCATCCTCTGGGAGGGGGGCCACAGGATGTTCTCTGCTCGAGTCCAGTCAAGACTGTGCAAGCTGTTATTGGTGTCACTAGCTGGGGTGGTACCGGCTCTGGGGAGGGGGTCTCTAGAACATGTACAGCCATGAGACAGACTGGCCAGGCAGACGTGTGTTACTCAATGTCTCCAAATGCGCCCACAGGAAACCAGCCACTTGAGAAGGAAGTTTGGCTTTTCTGGGCTTTAAAGAAAACTGACACGCTGGAGTTCCCGTAACCAATAGGCTGTTGGTGGGGGGACGGGGTGTATTTTCCAAACACACACAAAAAAGGAGAATCCAGGGGTGATCGGAAACTTTGACCTTGGTGAGCCAGGCTGCAGGGGTGGGGCTTCCCGAGAAGCGTGGTCAAAAGGCAGTAGAGGCCGGGAGTTTGTCACACTACTGTCCATCTGCGCTTCTGTCTGGACGTGCTCCTGTTAGCCACATCGGCCTCTCAGAACAGCAGGGCCAGGGATGCGAGAGACGCCATCTGCCCCCGCCGCCATGCAGGGCCTCCTACGGTACTTCCACCCTAGCCGGGCCAGCCGGAGCCGACTGGCCTCTGCCGAAAAGCACCTGTGTGCTCGGGGCACGGCCCTGTGGACCCACATCCGAAACCTCATCTGCAAGGGCAAGGTGGGCAGATGGGGGTGCCATGGTCTCCTGGGTGGGCCGTGTAGGACCAGGGGTCCCTCTGCCTGTTGGCTACATTGAGGAAAGGGGTCCAGTGATTACTGTTCCTGGGAGGGAAAGGGAAGGGGATTTCCTGCTGAAGCTGCTTCTGTGTCTCCTTTAAAGAAAACTCTTGGTGGTGGTGTTGAGCTCTCCCTTTCCTTAGGAGCCGGAGGTATGGTGTCTATCCCCTTCCTTCCTGAGAAGCCAGGGCACAGGAGTTGAGTGTGATAGTCTGGCAGTATGCCCCCTCTCCCTTACCTTTTCCCACCATACCTTATCTGGTTGAGAGCGAGTTAGGGCCCTAGCGTCATCCCCCTCCTGCCTCCCCCCGGAGGAGGCTGTTCCCCGAGCTGGATGCCTGGCATTCACTCTAGCGGGGGAGCACCAGTTGGGAGGTTTCCTTTTCTGAGTGGTTTGTGACTGACTGGTCCCTGCTGACAGGCCTTGCCCTTCAGGGTGGGGTCCCCATGGCCCAACAGTATGCCCACCCCCAAGAACTTCCAGGGACAGATACGGAGCAAGAACCTGTAACCACACAGCCCCAGGAGGGAAACACTCTGCCACCCTTTGTTTTTCTTTGTCATTGTGTCTGTACATTTCAAATCTTTGGAGATGTTAACCAGTAGGATGGTGAAGGGGAGGTAAGGGGAGCCCACACCCCAGGAGTGCCTGTGACGAGCCTCCATGCCAAGCAGTGCAGGGATAGAGGCTCTGGTTGCACACAGCTGAGAGGTAGCAGCCGCTGGACCTTGTTTTCTCACCTGCACAAGGTCCACATAGCTGTCACTTCTTGGGTCCCTTGCAGTGGATAAACATGGATGCCTGTCCTGAGCACCCCACTGGACCTGGCACTATGCTCAGTACCGTCGTGTGTGTGTGTGTGTGTGTGTGTGTGTGTGTGTACACAAGTTTGTGTGTGCAGAAATCACGAGACATGGACCCTGCTATCAAGTGATTTGCCTAGTTTCAGCCATGTATCACAAGGCCCCGTATGAGGAACGCCAGGTTACATGGTGTCAGACAGTGGTTCCTTAACTTGGCTTTATACCAGAATCACTTAGGGAGGTTTCTAGTTAAGTGAACCCCAGATCCCACCCTGAACTGTGAGTGCAACTCTGTGAGTAGAACTCAGGGAGCTGTTTTTTCAAACAAGCTCTTCCCAGGTGCTCATTTGTCCAGCCCACTGGTGTGGATGTGTGCTCCCCAAAACAGGGAGGATGGAGACCTCATAGATGGGGAGAGCTTGGCCTGAGCACAAAGTTGGGTATGTTACAGCAGCACAAGCTGTCAGGTGAGATGGGGCAGCATGGTCCCGTGGGCCGGCACTCAGTACTCTGTGGGGTAGAAGTCAGAGGGCTACAGAGGGCCTTCCTCCAGACCTGTCACTAGCTGTGTGGTTTGGAGCTGGGCTCTGGATCCTTCTGGGCCTGACTCTGAGCCATAGGACTGACCTGGACTGGAGACCCCCTCCTGCATGGGCTCCTACAATTAAACCACCAGGCACACTCAGGAAAAAAACAGTTTCAAACTCTTGGTTGGCACACCTTCTGAAAATTACTATTAAAACGGGGTTTCCCAAAATATTTAAGCCGACAGCTCGGCCTCCACTGAGCTGTGTGTAGCACCTGTGATGGCTGGTGAGGGGGAGCAGGACAGCTGCTACCATGGCCTTGAGCTCCCATCCAGAAGGGACAGAGGGAGGAGCAGGGTGCAGGGCCCAGAGCTGTCACCAACTCACACCAGGGGTGAGTCTGGGACACATGAAGCATAGGAGAGCTCTCAGTTTCCAGGGGTTTTCTAGCAGGTCCCCTTTCTGGACCCCTCTCAGGTGCCAGCAGAGGTCCGGCTCCAATTCTGACTTAAGTGTGGAGACATCACAGGCTTGGGCTGCTTGCTGCCTGGCAGGATCTCTGCACAGCCCCCAGGGCACCTAGTAATCATGACTGCTTGCTTTCAGCTGGACCCCCAGGCCCTGCAGGACAGAGACTGGCAGCGGACTGTCATCGCCATGAACGGGGTATGTTGGCACCTACTTTTCCCAGAAGATTAGCGTGGCCCCCATTCCTTCCAAAACAGTCCGAAGGAGGCTAAGCCTGAGCTAGTGTGTGAGGTGGGGCATGGCTGCAGGAGGCAGAGGTGTTGCAAAGCAGAGTCACTATGAACATTTGGTGGCTGGTGTCGTAGTCACCAGCCAGGCACTGAGCCTCCCTCCCCAAACAGTGATCCAGTGGTACCACCAAGTTAGGCAGGGCCTCGACCCTGGGGTCTGCCTGTAGAAATGGAGACCCCTGATTAGTTTTCAGTGCCCCAGAAGGATTTAAATCTTTAAAAAAGAAAGAAAAAAGAAACAAAACAATTACCTACCAGGGGAGGTCTGGGCATATATGACAAAATGTTACATTTGATAGATAATTCATGGCTTTTTGTTATGTTACTTTCTATGCTTTTCCTCTTGTTAACTATTAAGAAAGAAAGAGAAGCAGTGGGGATTAGGGTGGGGAGCAGTGTCCTGCAAGAGCCAGTCTTTAAATCACCCTGACTGTTCCTGGCCCTTGCTGAGTTGGGCCAGGGGGCTGCCCTGTGATGGGATCTTAGCCCGCTTGCCTGGGGAGGGGGATGATTTGCCAAGCCCCCAGGGCCTCTGGGAACTCAGACTGTGAGTCTCAGAAGGGTTAGAGGGCTGTGCTCCCTGCCTCCCCCTGCAGATTGAAGTGAAACTCTCCATCAAGTTCACCAGCAGGGAGTTCAGCTTGAAGAGAATGCCTTCCCGAAAACAGACAGGTGTCTTCGGAGTCAAGATTGCCGTGGTCACCAAGTGAGTGGAGAGGGGTGAGGGCTCATGCATCTGTTATCCTCAGGCACAGAGGGCACCCCGTCCCACCCCCACCGAGCAGGTGTTTCTGAAGGAAAGAGCAGGCAAGGGTCTCCACTCTCTGCGTGGTCCTCTGAGCACAGGATGCCTCTCAGGCCAATGGAGCACTCAGTGTGCTTAGCTGCCTCCTGTGTTTACCTAGAAACTTGTCCTCATCAGTTCAGGAATGTCCTCGCCCCCTCATGCAGGCCGGCAGGCTGGCTCCCACACTACCACTGGAGCAGCACAGAGTCAGGGTCTTCTTCCCTTTGTCACAGTCAGGGTTCCTGTGGCAACCCCAGCCCCTGGGGCAAGGTCACTTGTGAGGAGAAGTTTGTATGCTGGTTTGAGAGCAGTTCTCAGGGACACGGGCCTCTTCCTCCCAGAATCCATTCACTTCCCCTGTTTGGAATCCAGCCGGGCCCCTGACCTCAAAGGCCAGAGCCTGCGTCACATGTCCCCCGGACACCTAATTGTATCCAAACACCACTCCCTGCCCCCAGCTGCACCCCAGCCTTCCCCACAGCTCTCTGGGTGGACCTGGGCTTGAGCAGAGAGGACTGTGTCAGCAGTTACCCCAAATAAGCACTGCTAATGGGGGTGGCTTAGGAAGGAACTTTGCTGAGCTCCTGAATCCAGTTGCTAAACTAGTCTAAAGCTGACCCTCCAAACAGCACATCTCCTATTTTTAGGGTACTCCTACTCTGGGAATTGGGTGTTGTTAAGATGTGAGCAAAAAGTGTTTAGAACCACAGGATTCTGAGTGCTGAGGTTAGGCAGCCCTGTGGGGTTGTTCATCCAGCAATCCAGCAGGTGTTGGAGTGCTGCTATGTACAGGGCTCACCTCTTGCTCAGGCCTGGAGGGGTCAGGGTTCACCTCTCACATAGCAGTCTTGGCAGAGCCAAGACTGGGTCCAGGACTCCGCAGCCACCTATTAACCCGATGCCTGGAATGTTTTAACTGACTTCCTATGGCTGATAACACCTAGGAAAGCCTCCTGACCTTCCCTAAAGATCACATATAACTCACAGGTCATCTGACTACCTTAGAAAGACCCTAATAAGATCTAAACAATGGTAATCATGAACTCTGAGAGCAAACGGAAGGCATGCAAGAGGGTCTGTGTACGCCCACACCCGGGGGCCTTCATCACCCCCATCTCTAGGTGTCCAGGTGTGCAGACAGTTGATGGGTCCAGCCCCGTGGCCTGAGCCAGGGGCTGCCAGGCACTGAAGGTGCTTCCCCTCACCCTGCAGGAGAGAGAGGTCCAAGGTGCCCTACATCGTGCGCCAGTGCGTGGAGGAGATCGAGCGGCGGGGCATGGAGGAAGTAGGCATCTACCGTGTGTCTGGAGTGGCCACAGACATCCAGGCACTGAAGGCAGCCTTTGACGTCAGTGAGTGTCGGCCCCACGCGGTGCAGGATGGGGTGTGGGCGTGGTGACCTTGCACCCCACGGTGCAAGTGGTGACCTTGCATGGTCAAGGCTCCTGTTGAGTATATTAGGCTCCGTACATTTTCTTCACTTCTTGTCTGATTTTTCCAGTGAAAAGAAGAGGGAGGGGTGAGAGGAGGTTCCACAGAAGCCCGTTCTCCTGTCTGAGCCACATGTGCATGGCTCTCGTGGAGTTGGCCCAGGGGCTTATGTGGGGCCGCCCCACCTCCCACTGGGGCTTGGCCTGCTTCACAGGGTAGAAAAGAGGTGCCGACCAAAGCTTTGGAGTCAGTGTGGTCTGACTTCTAAGTTGGTGGAACTACCTCAATCCCCAGATGAGGACACTGAGACCCCAGAGGCTCCTCAGAGTAGAAGGTGGCAGAGCCAGGACATCGTGCCTGGATACTCTTCCCTCCCTGGTTTGTGACACAGAGGGCCAGTGGCCACCTGAGGCCAGAGGGAAGGCACTGGTTTAAACTGTAGAGTGGCACAAATAATCCCAGTATCAGAAGATGCCTACCGTCAGGTAGTTGCTGCAGAGCGTAGCCACCCAACTCCTGCCCAGGCACCGTGTCTGCGATACCTCCACTGGCCTGACAGCTTCTCGTGGTGGCTCTGCTGCCAGGCTGCCCCTTGCCCAGCAAGGGAGGGGTCAGGAGGACGCCTCCTCTGCCAGAACCACTGGCATACTTGGAAGAAGACACAACCTGCTCAAAGGAGGAACCCCAAAAACCGTCCTCCTGCTATGGGCTGACTTGCCTGAGGCAGGGAGAGCGGAACCCTACTTGGTCTCCGTGAGTAGGTATAGGTCGTGCTTCATCTCCACGCTCCTTCCAGATAACAAGGATGTGTCCGTGATGATGAGTGAGATGGACGTGAACGCCATTGCCGGAACGCTGAAGCTGTACTTCCGTGAGTTGCCGGAGCCCCTCTTCACCGACGAGTTCTACCCCAACTTCGCCGAAGGCATCGGTGAGCATGGGAGGTCTCCCCAGCCCCTCCTGTCCAGTGGTACTCTGAGGTGGGAGAGATGTCAACAGCAAGGTGAGGGTGAGCTGCGCCCCCTCCACCATGGTCCACCTTTGAGCCCAAACTTCACGGTGGCAGCGGACCAAGAACCTAGCTGGTCCTAGAAGGCCTCTGCCTATCCTCAAAGGGCCTCCTGCTGTCCCCATCCCTCCAAGGAGCCCAAGAGGGTGAAAGGGCTGGTACCACTGCGGCACACTGGAGTATGGGGTCCTGGAGGCTCCTTCCTCCTCACTGCAGTGCCCCTCTGCTCCTCTAACCCCAGCTCCTGGTCCTGTCACATTGGGCTTCAAGCCCAACCTGACCCTAGGTCCTCCTGGAGGGTGGTGTCTGAAGTGGGGGTGTGGGGGGACAAGGCAACTGCAGCTTCCACACCCAGCCTCCAGAGCCATTCATTCAGCAGAGGACCCCCAGGGTACGCAGGGTGATGAGGGAACTTCCAGGGCCTTGAAACCTTCCTGCCCTCACTCTTCCTGCTTCAGTCCATGCTCAGCTTCTCATGCCTTGGGCTCTTCTGAGCAGAAGGTGGGAATGGCCAGGTCGGCTGGGAGGGCAGTGATGCCTGCCACCTCCTGGCACTGGATCCTCACTGGGGGCCAGTGCTATGTGGGCCAGAACAATGATGGGCCTGGACTGCCCTGAGAGCCCCAGGAGGGGCCTCCAACTTGGTCATGACCCTGAGAATAACCCCCCTCCCAACCCCCTGCAGCTCTTTCAGACCCCGTTGCAAAGGAGAGCTGCATGCTTAATTTGCTGCTGTCGCTCCCAGAGGCCAACCTGCTGACCTTCCTCTTCCTTCTGGACCACCTGAAAAGGTAACCCCAGCTCTTCCTCGGGGGCCCCCAGGCAGCAAGGCACGTTCTCTTGTGGCCCACTGGCTCCTAGGCCCTAGTCACACTCCATGGCTCCTAGGGCCCACTCCCCCCACCCCTGTCTGTGGTTACTCATCCGTTCTGGGTATTGCTCCATGGCCTTAAGGAAAGAGTGAAGCGCTTCAGCCATGGCCTGTGGTGTGCCTGGGCTTCCTCCCCGCTCCAGATCATGGCCCACAGCTGGCCCAGCCACCTGCCAGCCCCAGGTGCTCTTTGTCCTAGGCCCCTCCAACCCAGAAGAACCGGGGTGCAGTCTGCTTCCAGCACATCCAGGGGTGGGGTGTCTGTGTTGTGGAGCCAACCCAAGGCAGAAAGGGGTGGCTCCCATTCTCACATTCCCTGAGCCACCCTCCAGAGTGGTCTGGCCCCTCCACCTCACCTCCATCCTGAAGGCCGTGTCTCAACAGCACCCTCTGCTTTGGCCCTCTGCAGGGTGGCAGAGAAGGAGACGGTGAACAAGATGTCCCTGCACAACCTTGCCACAGTCTTCGGCCCCACGCTGCTCCGGCCATCAGAGAAGGAGAGCAAGCTCCCTGCCAACCCCAGCCAGCCCATATCCATGACCGACAGCTGGTCCCTGGAAGTCATGTCCCAGGTATGAGCAGAAACAGGCTCCAGCTCACACCGCCTGATCTCAGAGGTGGCCTCTGCCTGGCCCACCCAGGGTCCTATTGGTTATTCCCATCCAAGGTGTACAGGGGGAGGGGTCCAAGGTGCTGAGAGAGGCACTTGCCTGAGGCCGTGTGGCTGGGAAGGGAAGGGAGGACCCAGGCCACTGTCCTTTCTGTTCCTTACTGGGGCTTCTCAGGGCCTGTCTGATATTTTCAGGGGCCTTCAGATCTCTTGGTGGGAGGGGCTCGTGTCGCCAGCACACTCTGCAGCTGTGAGCACCCCTCTGAGCCACTTTCCTCTTTCCTCCTCCCTGCTCTGCCCCGGCAGGTCCAGGTGCTGCTGTACTTCCTGCAGCTGGAGGCCATCCCTGCCCCAGACAGCAAGAGACAGAGCATCCTATTCTCCACTGAAGTCTAAAGGGTCAATTCCATCTCTGAGAGGCCAGCAGAACGGCCTGGAAACCTCCTGGAAAAACGGGCTATCCACAGAGTGGGAACCGAATCTTCTTGAGGAGTAATTAGGCCACCCCGCCCCCAAGGGCTGGACTACCCTTGTCTAGGGACTGCCTAGAGACAACTACCCAAGGCAAAAGGCCAAGTGGCCTGGGCAGTTCTGGACCCCGCCCCCCCGGCCCTTGGGCCTGTGAGCTTGCAAGGAGCCTCAGACTGTGGTTTTCCATGCTGCCACCAGAGGGTGCCCCAAGCCAGCATGCCTCAGCGCGCAGCAGGCCTGGCCGTGGGACCAGGTGAAGGGAGTGGTTTCTACGAACTTACCAGAGTTTGAGATTTCTACTGGAACGCTTGTCAAGATGCACCCTCTCCAGGGAGAAGGGAACGTGACCAGATTCCCTCACTATCGTGTCTTGAATAAACACCGATGCTGCTTCATACCGTGGGGGCCACAGCCCTGTCCCTGTGTGGGTGGGGGCTTTTCAGTTTCCCTGACTTAGAAATTTAACTCTGTTTGTGTAACAGAGTTTGAAAAGCTAAGTCAACACTGTGTAGCGTTTGACCCCTTTCGCCTCCTTCCTTCTCCTTCTTTCTAGAAGGAACTCTGTCCAGAAATGGGTCTTCCTATTCTGTCCTGTTGCGTTGTTTTTGCTGTTCATGTGCCCCTCAGAAGGCAGCTCCCCGTGGAGCCTTGTAACGCCTGTCTGTCTGTGCAGGACCGACACCAGGGGGAGGGAGGCCCAGGCTGCGCACTTTATGGCTTCTTCTCCAGGGATAGTGACCCTGTCCACTGCCTGTTGGGCACAAGCTCTCCTCTTTGGCTTAAAAAGGCCTCAGTCTTTCTGGCTTCCTACAGCCTGCCGCCCCCTCTGCCCACACCCTCCCTCCCCCTGATCATCCCCCGACATCAGTCACTTCATTCTCTTGCTCTCTGCTGAACAAACTCAGTAAACTTTTGTAAAAGTTTCCTCTCGGCAGCAACAGCTTGCTGACAGCTCGTTTTAAACTTTGATCCGAATAGCCTTTTGATACTTGAATATTTTTAAGTTTTCTACATAGTTTCTAATTTTTTTCCTAACAGATTCAAATAACTAATACGATATTAGAATGTACTCCATGGACAATTCGTGTCCCAGCGGCATTTTGTCTTCCTCTACACACCAACTCTGTTTTTGTCAGGGGCCGGTTCTGAAGTCTCCTGAGCATCAGGAATGTGGGGGGAGGGGTTGGTTAGGAGCAGGGGGCTGTTCCACTGGCCAGTCTCAGGGTGGGGCGCTCCTGTCCCGGAGCAGGTAGAAGGACAGGGACTGGCAGCTACCTCCCCTCCCTGCTCTCCAGATACCGGTACAGAAGCCAGGACATTCCTGGTAACCCTCCTGACCATCCAGCTTGTAGAAAAGAGAACGAGGGAGGCCGCTAAGTCTTTTGAAGAAATAGATCTATAAACAATTGCATCCTTTTTTTTTTTTTTTTTTTTAAAGAGAGGGGTTAGGGCAAGGAGAAAAACCTTGAGAAGCCAAGTTTCCATGCTGGTCTTGCAAGAAAAGAGAATATAGTGAACCAGAGGAGGAAAGCAATAGTGTGACTCAGGAAAAGGTGTTTGCTTGTCACATGATTACACCAGTAACGGTGGCAATGTCCCATGATCCCTCCCATGTCCTGGGTGGCAGGGGTGGGGGTGGGAGGGCTCGCCTGACACGTCAATAGGCAGCTCTTGCCCAAACTCGCAGCACATGGGGGGACATGTGCTCTCCAGCCTCCCCTCTGCTTGTGGACCTGCTGAAGCAGGGTGGGGGTGGGGAAGGGCAGCAGAAAACAAAGTCTCTTAAAGGTTTTATGTCCACATACTGTATTTATTTCTTTGTACTTTTTCCTTGCGAGGAGAGCAGACCCACCATTTTAAAGGAGTGTGGCTCTCCTGGGGGTAGAGGCAGGGAGCAGGGTCCTCTGTCCTCTGCACATTTCTGGACTCACTGGGTTTCTTAGGCCTCCAGCTCTGGGCCGCCTCTGGCCTGGCTTCCCAGCCCCATCCATCTTAGCATCCCTCCAGCCCTGCAAGGGGAACACACTCTGCTTAGAAAAGCTACACCCAGCACTCATTTCTGTTCCCCTGGTGTCATGATTTGCATCTGTCGCATTGAAACTGGAAAGCAATATATCAGTGTCTGTGCCAATTTTCGTTCCCTCCCCCTACCTCCTCCCCCTTCTTACTTTTTATTTATATAGAATGTGTGCTGTTTGATGACAGAATGACCACTCTTCCTTGTGTAGCTCTAAAAGCACTCCTTTGCCGGGTCACAGTGGCAGTGGTCACTGGCCGCCTCTGTTGCCCTGTCTCACACACGGGCCTGGGGGTTGGTAAAGCGAGCATAGGGCAAATAGAGTCCTAAAGCCCAGACATGACCTTCCACGAGGCACGGCTGCTGGACTCTGCAGCAGATGAGAAGCCTGGAGCAGGGAGCTTGATCCGGCCCCTGAATCTGGAGCAGGGAGCTTGGCTGTCTCTGCAGCTGCATTTCTGCTTTGGGCCCAGCCATCCCTATACCACCGTGGGGGAAGGGACTGCTGACACTTTCATTAAAGTTACCTGAGACTACTTGTGTCAGTGGTGATTGCTCCATTCAAAAGGAAAAAACACGATCGGAACCTTTGGGAGGGTCCCCGAGCTGCTGGGTGGGAGCTGGGGGTGGGCAGCAGAGCTGGAAGCAGCAGCAGGCGATGTAGAGGGCCCGGGTGCCCCGGAGGCCACCTAGGAGGGCAGCGCACACCGCAGTGAAGAAGCCAGGCCCAGTGGGGTCTACGCACCACAGGCGGGCACCGCAGGCAGGGTTGGGACGTGAAGCAGCAGAGCAGGAGCTTGGAGCCCTCTGGTTTAGGGCGGTGGGGGTACCGGCCATGCCAAGCCCAGAGACAGGGAGGACTCCAGCCCCCCACAGCCTGGCCCTGCACCGGTCCCTTGGTCTCTGTGGTTTCTGCTGACACCAAGGTTTGGTGGTCCTGCCAGGTCTGGCCTTCCTGCTGCCTGCAGGCATGGGTCTCTCTGAGCTGCCACCAGCCTTGCCCTCAGGAAAAGTCTGTCCAGCTTACAGGGAAGTTGTGCCCAGGGCGGAGACCGGTGTAGGACTTGGGGGAAGCTGGGTCACACTCATTTGCCATCCCCCTGCGTCTCACCCCGAGACTCTCCTAAGGGTAAGGCTCACCTCGGAGACTGCAAGTGGCCAGTGAAGGCCTTCCTCAGACCCCCAGGGAGGAAGGTCTCCTCGGCGGCTGCCTGGTCAGCTCCCGAGGGTGGGGGCAGTGTGGTGTGTGGTCATCTGCCTGCCCTGTGATTCTGCCTCCGGCTGGCCTCCCAACACTGCTGCCTATGGGGCATCACTGCGGCCATTTCACTGGCCTGTGGTGACCCAGAGGAGGTCACACCGAGAGTGCGACAGGATGCCCTGGGATGAGCCTCCCCCCTCAGAATCTCCAAAGGCATCAGAGCCCCCTCCCACAGCACCCCTCCAGCATCCCCTCCCACAATTTCCCCCCACAAGTCGTCCTCACGCAGTGTCCCCTCCTCTCACAGGTATAAGAGTTGACACTGGGTTTTGCCTGCATTGGAAAAGCTTCACCTACACCATGTCATCTGTCTACTCTGACATCTACCGATGAAGAACAGGCTCCCACTGGCCCTTGTCCGAGTATTCGACCCCTAAAAGGCTACAGTTAGTTTTCTCTGTCCCTACAGTGGTGGTCCTGTTTGAAAACCAATAACAATAACAAAATGTTTTATTTTTTTAAGTTTATTTTTGAGAGAGAGAGAGAGAGCGTACGCACAAGCAGGGGAGGGACAGAGAGGGAAGAGAGAGAATCTCAAGTAGGCCCCACACTGTCAGTGCAGAGCCTGACATGGGGCTTGAACCCACAAACTGTGAGACCATGACCTGAGCCGAAACCAGGAGTCAGATGCTTACCTGACTGAGCCACCCAGACGCCTTGCAATGTTTTAAAGCCCTACCATATCACTCCTACTAGGAGTTGATTTTTCGAGCAAGAGCTGACTAGCCAAGTTCCTAAGAGCAGGCTCCATGTCCAGCCAAGTCCAAGCCAGTGATCCCAAATCTGAGATCTTCCACCTCAAAGGGCCCTCAGAGGCCTCTTAGTCCAATCCCTTTGCTTGATAGATGGGGACACTGAGGCACGCAAGGCCAGGGGTGGGGGGTGGGCACCAAGTCCTCCCCACCCAGGTTCCCAGAGCCAGTAGATGAGCAGAGGCTAGGATCTCTGTGTTCTGCTGGCTCCCCAAGCTAGCTCCCTTTCTGCAGGAAAGGGCAGAGCCAGGCCTTGACCACCAGCCTTTGCCTAGATGTGGCAAGGCTCGTGAGGGCACACAGGCTGAGGCCTCCAGGTAGCCCACATGTACACACCCTGGGCAAATAAAAGAAGACAAGTTTTGTGTAGAAATCTCACCAAAACTTCAAAAAAAATGCATCAATTGCATTAAAAGGAAACATTTCCACGAACTAACGATGGACTATCACAAATAGCTCTGGAAAGATAAACAGAAAAAGTGGGGGGGTGACAGACCCAGCTCTTGAAGAGGCCCAAATGGCCTCCTGGAGAAGCTGCCATGGGTCAGCAAGCAGCAGCAGGCTGAGGGGCATGCCAGGATGAGGAGGGACTGTCAGGCCTGAGGGAAGGGGTGTTGGAACTCAATGTAACTGGAGTGGAGGAGAGCAATGGGTCAGCTGCCAGGCGCAGACCTGTGTCTCTGTCACCCCAATACTTGTAGCCCAGAAAGGCCAACCAGGGCCATGACAAAGAGGCACCCACGTAAACGGTATCTGGGAAGACAGGGCCCCCTTGCACCTCTCAGATGTGTTGAGATCAGAAAGGAAACCAGCTGCTTTGGGGGACCTAAGCTGCTCCCAAACAAGACGCATTGAGCACCCTGGGCCAGGCAGCCGACTGGACATCACATGGCCATGTGTCCAGAGAAGGGCCTTCTAGGGACCTCTCTGGCCAGTTCAGCTAGAACACTGAGGGAAGTCCACACACCAACTACTTTTCCATTCTCCTGTGGGTGGAATTGGGCAGGGCCTGACCAGAAACTCTTCCTTACGTTTTTCAGTCTCTCTGTTGCAACCTGAGCCTGGCAGCCGGGGGTGTGTAAGTTCAAATGGGATGCTGGATAAAGAAGGGGCCTTAGGAATGGGGCCTAAACAAGTCTGGGTACCTAAGCAAGTTCAGGTCCCAAAGTAGCTGCAGGCTGAGTAGCCACAGAAGCAGAGATGCCAGGATGGTGGCCACCCCGGCCCCAGGAACTCCCCAGGGGTGAAGAGCTTGAGTGACCAGGACAGATGGACCTCCCAAACCCGTGGCATGGCCCCCAATGGCCAGCAGGGAAACTCCAGCCCCATCCACTGGGAAGCAGATTCTGCAGATGCTTATTTAAA